ATATTTCTATATATATATATATATATATATATATATATATAAACCTTTTCTTTCTTTATAAATATAAAAACTCACTTTATTAATGATTGAAATATATTTGTCATCAGATGTGAGTGGAGTCAAAAAACAATTTTCCTTTCTTAATCTATTTATCATAACACTACAAAAACAATATATTTTAGGTTTAATCCTTTCGAACATTCTTATTTCTGTAGGATCGTCTCAAGTAGGTCCTCGTATTGTAAATGTTCTCGATTAGGAAAAAATGAATCAATTTAGGACTTACCGTTTGTTCCATACTAACATCGTTAAAGGGGTGACATGTGTCAGGTCGTGGTTTTTTTGAATTTTTAATTATATTTTTATTATTTTTATTTTTATTTTTTATTTTATATTTATTTTTTTAAAAGTAAAATTTAAAAATGCCACGTATCAAACTGATAGTGTGCCACGTGGCAATGGCAGTGTGACGTGGCACTGACAGTGCCACATGTCATTGTCAGGCCACGTGTCATTGCATTAGTCTCAATTTGGTCCCTGTATTTTTATTATGTAGCAATGTGATCCCTGTATTTTTATTTTGTCTCAATTTAGTTTTAATTTTAAAAATTAAACAATTTTTCCCTCCTTAAATTCAAACAAAGTTTAAATTGTATATATTTAAATAACATAACATAACACCAGCATGTTATGTCACTCTTCTTTAAACTCTTATAGATATATTTAAATAACATAATTAACATTTCTATGATTAAGTAAATATAAATATAATTAAATTTAATCTTGTTAAAAATATTTATTAAAAATATTAATTTTAATAAAAATATTTGTTAAGATTTATATACAATTTAAATTTTGTTTGAATTTGAGGAGGGAAAAATTTGTTTAATTTTTAAAATTAAGACTAAATTGAGACAAAATAAAAATACAGGGATCAAATTGCAACATAATAAAAATACAGGACCAAATTGAGACTAATGCAATGACACGTAGCCTGACAATGACATGTGGCACTCTCAGTGCCACGTCACACTGCCATTGCCACGTGGCACACTATCAGTTTGACACGTGACATTTTTAAATTTTACTTTTAAAAAAATAAAAAAAAAAATAATAAAAATATAATTAAAAAATTCAAAAAAACCACGAACTGACACGTGTCACCCCATTAACGGTGTTAGTATGGAACTAACGGTAAGGCCTAAATTGATTCAATTTTTCATAACAAGGGACCTAATCCAGAACATTTACAATACGAGGACCTACTTGAGATGATCCTACAGAAATAGGAATGTTCGAAAGGATTAAACCTAAATTAATTTGTAAACAAAATTCAAATAAGATTTTCCTAATATAAAAAGTATATATATCCAAAGAGACGTTAAATCTATAATTTTGTTTGTGGACTAAACATCTAAAAGTACATTTCAAGTGTGAATGAATAACGCATACATCCATTCCATAAAACAAAATATGTTTGTTTTTAGTTGATGCTTCACAACTAAACTTTTATTTACAAAAATACTGTAGCCTATAAACTAAGGATAATATCACACATAACAAAAGATAAAATACAAGGACAAAATGGTCGAGTGAATTTTTGTAATTTTTCTAAAAATAAAAAAGTAAAAAGCAAAAAAAAAAATATCAAATGTAAAATATTATGTGTGTTTCATTTTTCTATTCTATATTTATGTGATATAGGCACCCATGCCCTAAGAGGGAATCAGGGCAGCAATGGAGAGACAGTTGCTAACCGTTATGCTGACCATGCCTTCAGAACGACCCCTAGCCAACTTGAGGTCCTCGAAGCCGCTCTCGCAGGTGGAGACATCTGCCATCACGGAGCTCAGCATGACGGTGACGTTGGCGAGGTCGTGAGAGGTGAGGGCATTCAAGGCCTGCTGCAGGCTCTGGAGGGCGGTTGTGTACTGCTCCTTGCAGTTAGCGAGGGCGGTGGCCATATCCGATGAGGATTTCATGTGTTTGTCGACAATGGAGATGGTGAAGTTGGTCTGGAAGGAGCAGGCCTTGATGGCGGCTTCCAGGACGCTCATGAGGTCGAATTTGTTTCCCAGGAAGGGCACCACGGTGGAGAGGCAGTCGTCCGGGTAGTCCGTGCGGGAGCAGATTTCCTTCACAGAGTCACGGTCTTGGCGATTGAACTGGTTCAGCATCGTAATCGTCTTGCTCCCGCGCAACGACCCCATCCGGATTTCGGCGAAGAACGAGGAAAACGCTTTGCGCAGTTGCCCGCCGCCACTCCCGCCAAAGAAGCCTTCCTCGACGGTGTTCGAGAATGGCGACTCCGCCGTTGGTGCGTCCGCCAATGACGTGTCCTCGGACGCCGGGCCCTCTGATGCCGGGTCCTCCGATGGCGGGTCCGCCGATTCCGTGTCCTCTGATGGAGGGTCCGCCGATTCCGTGTTAGCAGATGTCAGGTCCCCGTACAATTCCTCCGGGTCCTTCATTGCAGGGTCATCTCTTACCGGGTCCACGGAGGGTTCCGTCATTGCTTCTTCAGATGTCGGGTCCACTAACGGTTCCTCCGATGCCTGATCCGCCGATGCGGGGTCAGCCGATGCCGGGTCCTCCGATTCTGGGGCCCCCGTTGCCTGATCCTCTGTAGACTCCGTCGGTGGCGGTTCGGACTGAGGCTCTTCGTCGCTGGGTGAGTCATGCGCTTTGCATATTGCAAAGCATAGTGCTAGGGTTATGAAGAAGAGGGTGATGAAGTTAACGTTGAGTTTCATTTTCTTTTGGTTTTGTTTATTACTTTTTGTGTTTTTTAATTTTTTTTAAGGAGGCTGAGAAAAGAAGGTGTTGGGTGCTAGGGAATTGGGGTGTGAGAATATATATAAATATATATAAGTGAGGGCGAAGGACGGCTGGGTTATGAATTGACGGTGAGAAAAATAGAAGATAACTTTACTCCTAATTTTTTTTCTCTTATCTCTATTTTATAACTTTTTTAAGTAATAGAATATTACATTTAACTAATAAAAGTAAATATATATATAATTTTAATATAAAATAATAAATTTATGGTTGTTAAACAGTGGTATAAAATAGAAACTGTCAAACTATCATGCTCCTTGAAAAAAATAGGATGAGGTGATTAGTGATTATTGTCTAATGGTGATTAGTGGGAATGTTTCCGCATTGTTTTGCTCACTAATGAGGTGATTAATTATTAATGTGTAATGGCGGATATCTATCCAAAGAGAAAATTACTCGTTTGATACCACATTTTTATATCAGAAAAGGACAAACAAGTTTTCTAACTCTATTTAGAAAGTGAGCAATTTGAACAAATTTTACCTGTAAACTATCACCATATATGTGATTTTAACAGTTTGTATCATAGGATGTCTAAACTCACCAACAGTCGCCCTCGACTGGTAACTCGGGCGACCGTTAAGACCGTTAAGGCGCCGAGATATATTACGATCGTGATATAGCGATCGTATATGTCGATGGCAATGAACAGTTGTCGAGCGATGTCACGACAGTTCAATATCATGAGCATATAATAATAGACTAGTAACCCGGACGACTGTTAGGAGGCCGAGATATATTGCGATCGCAATATAGCGATCGTATGTGTCGACTGCACTGAACATATTAAATCTTAATCGTTAGCGCCACAAATCACGGGATTAATTGACCCAGTATCAAACACGATCTAACGGTTGCGTTTTCCAAATGGTCAACTTCTGTGACCTACCGAATTTTTAGGTAAACGGTTTATTTTATCACTTTAAATATGAAAAACAGAAAGAGAAAAAGGTACATTCTTCTTAAGAGAAATTTATGATTTTCTACTATGATTGAACTGAGAGAGTTCTACAATTCCCATTTTTTCTGACTTGAGCGTCGGAGTGCTTTCGCAGGTATACACCTCACTCTCCCCGAAATGTGCTGACTAGGAGAAGGACGTGAAGATAAAGGCATCCTAAGAAGAGAAGAAGCGACTGATCAGGTTCATATTTCGGTCCCAACTTTTATTCTGAAACAGTTTTTTTTTTCTTGAATACAAGAAGGATAAAAAATTTATTTTATTTCGTGTTATTTTACTATTCTTAATGAAAGTTTCTCAATACTTTTAACTAGAACCATTTTTATATAATATTTATTTATATTTTTTTGTTGTAAAAATAAAAACACTTTATATCATGAGATGAGATTGCATATAATAACATAATATAAGTATATTTTTTTTCTCTCCAAATTGCTGGAATTGAAAATATATTTCATCGCTATCTTTATATTTCATGGATTCGTTTACTTGTCTTATTAAATATAATTACATTTAATAAAAGTAAATATAATTAGTGTAGGAAAACTGGGCAAGTTTAAAAATTTATATAAGAAAATCTTTACTAAATGAAGTTTTATTTTATCATCCATACTTATTCTTATATTAATTTTATTAATTTTTATTAAGCAAATATTCATTTAATGGTCATATATTATTTTTTTAAAAATTGGTATCATTAAAATTTGCTTTCCGAAAAGTTGTTCAAAGACATTCGTTTTTATTTTCAGAACATTTAACTCATTTAATTTTTCGATTTTTATTAGAAGTTAAAATAATTGCATTATGTAAGTTCGAGTACATTTCTATCATTTCTTCTTAAATATACTTAAGAGAGAAACTATATCGACCACTTTTTAACTTTGACAATATGAGATTAATTTAAGAAAAAGTTAAAATATATTAGCATAATATTAGCCAAAGTTAATCTAGTCAGGTAAATGTCCATAAATATGTTGTAAATAATATAATATAAAAGATAAATTAATTATGTTTCATTGTTATTGTATTTAATATTGTTTCATACATTTAACTAACTTAAACATCGTCTTTTATAGACATATCCACTTTAGGTTTTGGAAAGACGAGTACCTAAAACATCTCAACATTGAAATATCTTCATATGATATATTTAATTTTGTAAAGACTAGTAACATTTCTTCTTTATACGATGAGATCACTTCATCTTTCAAATTGAACTAAGTAACCACATCTCCTCTCAAATAAGTCAATATCAAAATAAAATACACTTTCGAAATAGAAAAAAACGTGGACAACAAACGCATAATAATTGGGAGCAGGGAACAAAGTTATGTACAAGGACTGTCTAAGCACAAAAATCAAAGTTTCATGTACCAACCATGGTAACTACCTCCCAAACAATTCAACTAAGTAATCACATCTCCCTTCAAATAAGTCAGGTTAACTATTTAATATCAAAATAAAATACACTTTCAAAACAGGAAAAAAAATGTGGGGAACAAGGACATAATATTTGATAAGCAACGAAAAAAATTATGTGAAGGATTTGCCTAATAGAAAGAATCAAAGTTTGATGTAGCAAACATGGTTAATTCAACCCACACAACAACATAATTTATCTAAGTAACAATATCAAAATCGAAAAAAAAAATGAGGACAACAAAACATAACCGTCAATAGACTCTGCTAAATGGAAAACAACATAAATATGATTATGGTCTGCAAAATGGAAACCAACATAAATATGTGCATTAACATAAAATATTACAATGAATTTTCTTGTATTAAACTTTACAACAATTTCGGGAAATAAAATGAACAAAGTCATCTTTTTCTATTCAACTTTACACAAATGACAATTTTTACTACATACGTTAGTGTCTTCTGCTCTCATATCCAGCATATGGAGTTGTTACGGTACGACTCTTGAAATCTATACATTGTTCTTCCTTCGTTTGCTTATACATATTGCTTTATTGTATGTAACCTCAGATTCAAACTGCATGTTGTTGTGGTCATGTTCCATATGATCACTAGTTCCACCAACACCTTTTTCCACATTCTGACCACCCTTGTCATTACTTTTTTTCTTCAACCAAAATATGTGAGTTTCCCATATGTGAGTCACATTCTTGCACCATTACGATAAAGCATCAAAAACTCATATATTCCTAGCAAAATGTACAAACTACAAAAATGTTTTCTCCAACCACACTCGACCCTAATTCTAAACATACATTCAATTCATTAAATTCCACAACTTTCTACCCAAAATAAAACAATATCGTCTTATTGCTGGTACACCTCTCTCTTTATTTATTTATGTTTGGATGATGAAAATAGTATTACAATTAATATAACATCCTTTTCCTATAGTTTGAAAAGGTCATTTCAGAAACAAGTTGAATGAATACACGAACAGCAGGTTCTTGAACAAAACCAGGTAGAATAGTTTGATTATTCCTACATTAAATTAGAAAATTAATGAAGAAACTAATGGTTGTGGTCTTAACTCTTGACCACAGTGACAGGACAGGTAGCATTATTCACCACGAAGTTGCTGACGCTGCCCATTATGACCCTGAAAAAGGAAAATGAAAAAAAAGAGATTGAAATTCGGATCCTTCGTTATATCAGAAGAAACGTAAAAAACCTCAGTATCTGCTATGCTGTGTTTTGGAGGAATGGGTTGAAATAGTAAGCACCTTTGGAGAGGTCCAAGGCCTCTGTTGCCGAGGGTAAGGTAGTCTAGAGGTACCTGATCAATCGCTTCACATAACTTCTCACGAGCATCTCCCCAATAGATCTTCATTATTACCATAATCTGCCATCCCAAAATCTTCCAACTTACTCTTATGTAATGCTATGCACACAGCTAACAAATATTTCTACTTCTCTTTCATAAAGAGTTAGAACAGAGCAAGACAAAAAATGGCATGCTTATTTTTGTAATTTAAAAACTAAATTCAATATTTACAACCCTAGGAGAAAATTTACCAAAACCATACGTTTTTTTGCCTGGCAGCAGTTTGGACTATATCAATTACATTGGGGTCGGGGTTGAATTCATATTTCTTCATGACCGCAGGTTCAGAGAACTCAGACAGAGGTATCAGAGCTGCGTTTGCATCAATACACACACTAAATAAGCAAATTAAAATCTCATACACGCACCTGCTCCCCAATTAGGAACCACAAAACGACCACGAATCAAATTTTGTTCTACCTATATTTTTACGAATTTTACGTAAATAATCTGTAACAGATAAAATCATTAGAATGTTCGAATCAAGGGATTAGCGTTGCTAACGTGAACCAGTGGTTTCCCAGAGCTGCATCTCGCCGTGCTCGTAATTGGAAGCGTGGCGAACCACGATAAGAACGAGGTGATCCCCTTCTTTTACCACGTTATCCACCGTCCATTGCAGTGCTTTGATGCTGCACGATGAGAAATCAACCGCCACGCCCACTCTCCTAGCACTTGTCATTTTCTCTCTCTCACTACAACAACCAACGATGTGGTCTCTTAGTAATGTTTTTTACTTGTGTTTGTGTCGATGGGAATTAGAATTCTATTTTGGTTTGTTGTTTTGGTCTGTGAAGGGTTGACACTGAAAAAGCGCAATTTGTGAGGCTGATACTGAAAGATCGGCAATTGAGTACTGCGTTAGTGGCTCACACTGTTCCACACATTTATTGCCTTTTTGAATTTGAGGTTCGATAATTCTCACTTACATAGGATCAGATCCAAACCGAGACATCAATAATTTCTGGCTAAAAATATGTGAATATTAGCTTGCAAAAAAATAATAAGTTGATGTATTTTAAATTGTTAGATTTGTGTAATTAATGTATTGATAAATTCATTCATTATGAGATTCGTCTAATCACTCTATGGACACATTTATTTTTGTGTATTATTAGATTATTTTAATCATAAAATGGATAAAGTCA